ATACCGACAAATATAAACCTAAGCTTATATTACTCGCTATACGCCGACCAAGTGAAGAAAAAGCATTTATGAATATGCTCTTAGCAGAAGTTACGTTTAAAAAGAAAACATCCGGACAGCTTACTGGGCAGTAAGCGTTGTTCCTACCCAGTCCCCTCTCTACTGTCCTCATATTACTGTATGTGTCATTCAGAAATCAATACCGAAAGCTGACGAATGCATGAACTAATTATTTTCCACGCTCCTTTGCCACTTACTCTTTGTAAAAAACATGGAACTTGACGAATGTTGGGATGACAAAGCGTAAATTTAAAATGAAGCTTTCATCGAGGCGAAATGGCACACTTGTGCCCGATGATGATTCGGACTCTGACCTCCAGGAATTCTCACTTCCTAAGAAGAGAATTATCAAGCCAGGGAAGTCCACGTATGTTGCAAGGTTAGGTTCTTCTACGGCGTGTTTGTCTGAGAGAAAGAGGCGCCTTGCTCTCGGAGAATATATGTTGTATTTTCATCTCGTTCATTCTATATTCATTTTCCGAACGTTTCAGACGGAGATGCGGTTGCTGTCGAGTTTGTGCTTCGGTTTTCCTTTCCGTTCTCCTCATAGCTTCCGTCTTGTGTGTAGTCGTGTTGGGATGGTTCAGCTTGAGACTCAAGCGTGATTTAGATTTCATGAGGAGAAGGTTAAGCAAAGGTAAGTCGTGGTTCTTTTGAGGCTGAGCGTCCGGTTGATAATAATTATTATCTTTTCGGGTCTTTTCACAGTTTGAGTTTTACTTCTTTATTACATTTTAATACTTTATTGTACGGGAAATTCGTTTATAATTGTGTTGTTCCGGAGTTTTTTACTACAGAGTTTCTATACTTACTGTGAATTTTTTTTAACTTTGGTCTAATGTTGTTGAATTTTTCCGCAATCCGAGAAATCCAGCACGCAGTCAAGGATGAAAACGCTGTCAAACACGACATATTCGATCCAAGGTTCGAATTGTGACATCAAGACGTTACACGTTTTCTTGCAGCGTTTTATCACAAATTAACCCAGAAAAAGAATTAAATACGGGCCTTTCCCGGCACTCCTTAATTATAATTTATGTTTCCCTTGGTTTGTAGATTGTATCGAAAGTAAACTCTTTGTGCGAAGCGATTCGTTCAGGACATTTCATGAATCTGCGGTTGTAGATCAATTACTTTGATCGAATGTTCTTCCTCACAGGTCGCTCATCAATTATTCAATATTGGGGAAAATGAAGAAGTAATGAAATAAAACTCCTGTCGACCTTTACTCTGGAGTTCTGATATCGATAAATCTAATGCAGCTCTGCTGTAGTTCAGTAGATACGTTTCAAGTATCAATGTTTAGTCGCGAGCACGCGACTACGATATTTATGTGAGAGGTTATTTAAACTAAATTTGCATTATGCCGAAGCTTTGAACTCTCTTGAAGGTGTTTGATTGTTAAGTAACAATTGTTGAAGCGCTCACTTGAAAAAAATATTGTGTCCAGCGCTGAATGGAGCGGTGGATTTATGAATAATTCGATTTTGAGTCTCGAGTTCGCATTGTCGCATATTAAGTACTACGTAGTTTGTTGACATGATCTCCAGCTGATAGTTTCGTGGTTGGTATAGAAATCGTCAAACTTGTCAAAGAATGTCGATAACCTCGTCGATTCTTTAGGCTTTGACAATGTGGATAATTAGTTGCGAAGCTCACTCAATATTTATTCCGTCCCACGGCTCAGAACCCCAAGTTTAATATTGTTTCTTCTGTTCAACGCCCAGATTAGAGGCTTTTTCTTATGAAAACAACGCTCGTTAGTAAAATATTCCAGAAAGAAGACAAGAATTCTTGAGTGAATTTTGTCGGGACGTTGGCCTATCGTGATATTTTAGTTTATCTTTTGGCGTGTGTTGGTTAGGAGAGATACGAATATTGATATTTCCTGTCGTGATATTGTCTACCAGACAGCTTCTGAACGCTCTTCCAACGTCTTAAAGACTTATCCGATATGCCCGACTAGCAGCCCTTGGGTCTCCGAGGATGATATGCGATACAAGTTTTGTCATATTATTCATGAATACGCTCATTCTAAGATTTATTGTCAACGCCAAACTGGATTTTTACAAGATATCGTTTCAGATCGAATGATATCCTGGCAAGAAGAAGGTCACTGGGAAGAAATATTTATGATTCATTTGTTTGTTTCCGGAAATAACATTTGATATTTTACAAGTATTCAACCTACACAATAACTCAGGACATAGAATCATTAAAGAAAGGAATGGCTGATACAGGAGGTGACATAACTGAAATTAAGGACAAGATTAAACAGCTAACAAAACTAGCCAGTCAAGAGAATGGAAAAGTGGATGAGTTGTCAAAAAATGTCTTTAATCTTTCAGTAAGTACTTTCTATTTAATATATTTTAAGATTTTGCATGCTATTTGGATCTCATATAAAGTGTAAAAACAAATATTACCATTATGGTACACTTTGTTTTAATAATGCTTTAGTTGTTTTGCAATCCCTTTATAATACCGCTTAGTGGTTTTGCAAGGTAATCCCTTTACAACAATTAATTATTTTTGCACGCTTATACAAGTGTTAATTGATGTACAATGCAGAGGAATACCAGTCATAACTGCTAATAATGAAGTATATGAAAATAGTAATCAAGATCTGACCTGAATTGGAGCCACAACCTAAAATTTGGATTCTGCACATTTAGTTGTTTGTTCCCTCAAAACATTTTTGCCTTCCTTGTGCATCCATTTCACTGTTACATGTAAGTGGCAGTCCCCTCCCCTTGATTTTTACTTTTACTATGCTGAGTTCAAATATGTGCCTTATAAAGTTTCTTTCGTTCTTTCTTTGATTGAGTAGTTGCCATACTGTCATTCCCAATGCCCTACAAGACCCAACATATTGTTTCGGACTGTTTCTGATAAATATCATTTGGCATGGTTCTGTTTAATTTGTTATGGAATGTCTTTGCCACAGGTTCAAGTGGCTCATGTTATGGGAAAGCCAACTCCTAAAGCTCCGAAAAATACTGGAACACCACCATTAATTTTACGAATGCCTGTTAGCAACGATGAAGAACAAAAAGCGAAAGACAAATCAATCATGAAGAATATTACTGCTAAAATTTCAGCTGTAAGTAGCCAGTTCATGAATTTGTCATTGACTGTCATCTGAAAAGTAATCACAAATCCTTTTAATATTTTATGCGCTAAAACTATTTTCATTGAAAGTCCAGGACACATTTCATGTTCTTTTCATCATCATTTCGTAATTTTGATTTTAGGAAGTTGCCAGGGTTATGGGAATTGTTACATTGGTGAACCACTCCCTGTCCCATGACATGACAAGGTTACGAGTGCTAATGAAAAGTCTGCTGACAGAAGTGAAGAAACATGTGGTAAGTAAAATTGTCTTGTGAATGTTGGATGCATGTTTGTACAATGCAATAGTGACTGATGGAACCCATCTGTTTTCTGTGTTCTGAAGATCTTGCTTGTGATTGGGTATAACACAATCAACATTCCAGACATATTTTAGGTGTTCATGGTTTTGTAAGTTTGACAATAACATGCAATGTATGAGGTTATGTTTAGCTTATCTTTTTAATTAAAATTTTCGTGTGAAATCGTAGCTATATAAGACTTCCTAAGTTCTCAAATAAAAGAGGCAAATGTTTTTGGTTTTCACGATGTAAATCACATAACAATGTTCCAAGTCCATCTCAGTTGCCTAGTTTTGATCATCCATATTTCTCCTCCACCTTTCATAGCCTGTAGTCAGTGGTGTTATTGCCTTGTGTACTAACATTGATGCAATTCATTGTTAAAACTTTATTAAACAAGACCTACCCTGAGAAAAATTCATTGTAGTTATTGTTTTGTATACCAGGTTCTAATCGACGAGTTACAGACTAAAGTGTCTGAGAGTTTAAGTCTAAATCATAGTAGTGTAGTATCAAGAGGGCACCTTGAAGCAGACACGGAGGCAGTTTCAGAGAAAGTCTTCAATTTATCTGTCATTGTGACAAAGCTTTCAGATGATGTAGAGCAGCACTCAAGTCATCTGGCTGAATTGGTATGTTTGATTTTGCTGTATATGAATTCATAGCTAAAATGAAGTTTCATGCTTCAGGTGTATCACAAAATACACTATTGATTCTTAAGATACATACTGTTAACCACAATGTTTTATCCCTGTCAGTGAAACATAATGAACACTTAATACCTGGTCCCAAGGGAAAGAATGAGTTTTGTTTTCAAGACCGATCGGGAAAACAGATTTGATTTGGGAGGTATAACAATCAGTATTCTATAAATGTTGTTCCTCACATAGGGGGAACCAAGGGACAGCCAGAAATACATCTGCATTCGCAGGCTATTCCACAGAGAGTATGTGGTACTCTGTTTGAAAAGCGTTCATACATACTTTGAAATTGTTTGAGTTTGCAATCAACCTTAAGAATGAATTAAGTGACCGAAGACTTTGAAATTTGTTTCACTATTAATTCCTACAAGTGGTAAATGTTTTGAGAAGAATATATCCTGCATTTTATATTAAATTATAATCCTCAATTTGTCCAGGCACTTGAACATTATTTATATACAACTACAAGTTTTTATCCGATATGCTATGTCAATTTTTTGTCTCAATTTGTTGCAGTTGTTGGAAGTTGTACAGATCAACACAACTGTGTACAATTATCAACATCAGGAGGCTATTCATGAAAAACCAGCATCATGCAATTGCTCAGGAGAAGTGAGGAGACTATGGGAACAGTTATCGAATAAAAAATCAACCACAGAATCAGTGCAACAAGTTCAAACAACCCAAAAGCCAGTTACAACTTTGCCAAGTAAGAATTCTGTTTGTTTTCTTGTTTTCACGTATTTCTAATCTAAACCTGCTGAAAGAAACAGGTTTAAGAAAAGAATGGAAATGGATTTTAATTTATAGAAATACATGTGTAAACCCAGCGTAGAGAAAAGTATTCAGCAGCTGATGTATGGTGGTACATACATTGGACACTCATTAACACTTCATGATTATCACAACTTAATATTGTCTGTCCTTACCCTTAAGCTCAATCAATCCTCTTCTTCAGTGCAGGCTATCACCAGTGTACATCATTGTTACTTGCCTTCTTCAATTTCAAGCACTACCCAAGGAATCTACCTTGACATGTTCATTAATTTCCTGC